TTGCGATGCTCACAATCAAGTAATAAGGAAAAACATATTGAGACACAAGTGTTCTAATATGAATTTATATTAATGCCATAGGAGCATAATTAATTCTAATTAGTCATTGTATTAGAGTTATTGAATGAGTGCAGTGAAGGCAAGATTCTGGGCTGGGTTAAAGAGTACGCCAAACCATATGATCATCTCAATTGATGCAGAAAAAAATTTTTTTTGGTTAAAATTCAACATCTTTTGTGATAAGAAACATTTAATAAATTTAGAAGGGAACTTCATCAACGTTAAATACTTCTTTAAACTTCTTCAAAAATTAAAAAAAAAAAAACCAGAACAAGACAAGGATGGCTGCTTTCACCGTCTCTATTCATAGCACTAGAAGTGAGAACCAAATTAGGGGGAAAAAAAAGTCCAATTTAGAAGGAAGAAGTCAAATTATCTCTGTTCACAAACGATGTAATCTTATAGCTAGAAAATCCTAAAGATGCATTTAAAAAAACTGTTAAAACCAATAAGTGAATTGAAGCAAATTTTCAGGATCCAAAATCAGCATGCAAAAAATCAGTTGTATTTTTATTTACTAGCAATGGACATCAAATAAGAAATTGGATTGGAAAAAAATCCATTTACAATAGCAGACAAAGGAATAAAATACAGTACTTATGGACAGATTCAACAAAGGAATTATACAACTTATACCCTGAAAATTACAAAATATTGCTGAGAGAAATTAAAGACCTAGATTAATGGAAAGACATCCCTTGTTCTTGGATTGGAAGGAAGATGTAATATAGTTAAAATAACAATGTTATCAAGGCAATTTACAGATTTAATGCAATCCCCATCAAAATTCCAATGACAATTATTGCAGAAATGAAAGAAACCATCCTAAAATTTATATGGAATCTTAAGAGACACTAAATAGGCAAAACAGTCTTTTTCAGAACTGAAAAAGAATAACAAAGATAAAGATTTCACATGTACTCATTTCAAAACTAACTATAAAGCATAGTAATGAAACATGTGGTACCAGCATAAGGAGACTTATAGAACAATGGAATACCATTTAGTGTCTAGAAATAAACCCTCACAATTATAGTGAACGGAGTTTTCACAAGGGTCCTGAAACTGTTCAATGGGGAAAGAGCAGTCCCTTCAATAACTGTGCTGGGAAAAAAAATGGATATCCACATGTAGAAGAAGGAAGCCTTATTTCACACCATAAATAAAAACAAATAATTCAAAATGGATTAAAGACATACACAAGACCTAAGACCTAAGACCATTGAACACTTAGAAGAAAATAGAGGGACAAATATACATGACCTTAGATTTGGCAGTACTTTTTAAAATATGACAACAAAAGCAAAAACAACAAAAGAAAAAACAGACAAATTTGACTACATTAAAATAATAAACTTTTATGCACCAAAGAATACCATCAAGAGACTCAAAAGGCAACCCACAGAATGAAGAAAATATTTGCAACTCATATCTGATAACAGTTTCATATCCAGAATATATCAATAACTCTTCCAACTCAATAAAACAGTCAACCCAATTTTAAAAAACAGGCAAAGGTCTTTGAATAGACATTTCTCCAGAGATGATACACATATGGCCAATAAGCACTTGAAAAGATGCTCAACCTCAATAGTCAGCTGTAAACCCAAAGCAAAATGAGTTACCGCTTCACACCTACTTGGTTGGTTATAATTTTTTAAAACATAGAACATAACAAGTGTTGGCAAAAACGTGGAAAAATTGGAACCCTTGTACATTGCTCATGGAAATGTAAAGTTCTCTAACTGCTGTGGAAACCTCTTGGCAGTTCTTCAAGAAATTAGACAGAATTACCATGTGACCCAGTAATTCTACTTTCAGGTATCAACCCCAAAGAATTGAAAACGGGTGCTCAAACAGATATTTGCATGCCAACATTCATAATGGCATTATTCGCAATAACCCAAGAGTGGAAACAACCCATGTGTCCATCAGCAGATGGGTGAATAAACATACTTCTAGTGTATATGTGTATAATGGTATAAGATTCAGTCATAAAAAGGACTGAAATTCTGATATATGCTACAATATAAAAACGGTGTGTGGTAAAATAAGCCAGACACAGAAAAACAAATATTATGAGTGTACATATATGAAATACCCAGAATAAGCAAATTCATAGACACAGAAAGTATATTTGGGGATACCAGGACTTGGAAGGAGGAGAGAATGGGGGTTTATTGCTTAATGGGTCTGGAGTTTCTGTTTTGGGTGTTGAGAAACCTGTTTCTACAACACTGTAAATGCAAATAATGCCACCGAATGGTACAATTAGCCATGGCTAAAATAGCAGATTTTATGATATGTATGTATGTACACACACACACAGACACACAGACACACACACACACACATAGCAGGGGGGAAAAACAAGGTACAGAAGAGAGTACATAATAAGTTATCTTTAATGTTTATTTAAGTTTCCATTAATACTGGAAAGGTATAAGAAACTAGCATTAAGTGGCTACTTACAGTTAACATGAATATTTAGCTCATACACACTAATTCAGCTCATACTGTTTAAAATATAGAAATACTCTGTCCTGATCAGTAAATGGCCACTCCCCAATTCCCTGAATTTCTTCTACCGCTGCCCTCATCCTGGGATACCGGATTGTCCAACAATCCAGCAAGTAAAGAGTTAACTCCTGGCAAGCAGGGGTCTAGCTGGACAGCATAGAATGAAGTGGAATGGGAACCGGGTGACCAAAAACTGCATACTAAACCTTTAAATATCATTTTGATTTTTTAAATCGTATAACTGTATTACCTATTTACTATAATAGACTGTTAAAAACTAAAACAAAATTAGAGTTCACCAGCAACAAAAGACAATTAAGAGAATGTGAGTAAGACAAATGTGCACTTGTAGACCACAGCTGCACAAAGAACAAGAGAGGTCAGGCAAGTGCAAGTTTTGTAGGGAGGATAAAATATGGGAGGTTGGGGGCGGATGCATAGAAGAAGATGAGATTAGATAGGTGAATGGGGACCAGATATGAAGGAACCTCTACGTGGCATTAATTAATTTGAGCTATTTCTATAGCCCTGATAAATCAGTTACTATTTTTTTAATCAAGGAAATAAGTTGAACAGGTCTCTGGGTTAGAAAAATATTTCTGACAACTATGTAGACAGCGACCTGGAGAGGGGAGAAGCCAGGATTGAGAGGCTGAGATGATGAGGGAAGTGGTAACAAGATGGAAATGAGAAGTCATGGTCAGAAGATACTAAAGAATGACCCAGTGGTCTTACTGAAAAGTTGTTAGCTTGGGAGTCGTGAAGAAAAAATGAGGAGGAACAAATAATGACTCTAAGATTTCTAGCTTAGTTGACTAATGGGGTGGATTATGACCTTTAATGGGGAATTCTAAATGGGAAATTATTCAGAATTTTGATTATGAGAAATGTGAATATATTGAGGTGGCAAAGATAAAGAATGACATAATGTGGATTTCAAATAAAAAGCTACAATGAAAATGGTAATGATTTGGTTTTCCATTTTATTTAGGAATGACTAAGAGGAAATATGCTAAATTCTACAGGACAAAACCGTATCTTTATACATAAATGAAGGTCTAAACTCAAAAGAGTTTTATTGGAACATGATACAAAAACTATTTTGTCCTAATTTACAAATTTCTTTTTGACTGTGACAGCTTAGATGTTAGACATGTAGAAAAATGACGTCCATATGCTGTAACTAATTTTAGGATTTATATTTTTATAGAGAAATAACAGACAAGATTTCTCAGAATGCATCTAACACTTTCCCAATAAACTTATTTACAGATTATTCTCCAAGGGGGGTGATATTGTTTCATGAGAATGGAAATTAGGATGAACAAGAAAAGTTTCATAAAATCTTTATGAACAAAATGGCTTTTTAGAGCATTTTTTCCTCAATTCTTTATCTATCTCCAGCTATCCCTCGATGCCCTGTACAGTTAACCATGAATATAGTGTATTCATAGTCTTCATTTCCATAACTTACATTTACTCCTCAGTCCACTTTGTCTGCCCAATTTCTTTAAGTGAAATGACTATTGCTAAGGTCAGCAGAGTCCAACACATAACTCAATTATCTCCTAGGAACTCTCTGTTGAGTTAGCATGCTTAGACAGCCGATCTTTTTTTGGAATATTATCTTTCTTTGATCTCTGTAACATTACACATTCCTGGCTTCCTCTATGCTTCTATGATCATTTCTTCTCAATCTCCTTTGGTGGCTTCTTCTCTCCCACCCAGCCATTAGTTGCTGAATTTCTCAGGAACTAATGTTGCTTATAGCCCCTCCTGTCTCTCACTCCACTTTCTTCCAGAAAAGCTCACCACATCTCTTACTTCAATTCCCAGCTATATGTCAACGATTCCACCACCACCACCCCTCCAGCTTTATTTCAAATCTCTAGATTTAACCTTTTCTCTAGACTGCAATCACAAATAACCAACCATTTCTCAACCTCTCAATGTGGATGTCTCAAATACACTTTAAACTAACCATGTCCAAATAATCACACTCTTAATCACTACCATCAAAGATCTCTTTCCAATATTCCTATCTTAATGGTAAGTTATCTTTCATCCAAGTGCACAGGTCAGAAACTTAGTAACATTCTTAACATTTACCCTTTATTAAATCCCATATCCATTTCTTTACCAAAGACTGTTAATTATTACCTCCTAACTATCTCTTACATTTCCGTACTTCTGTCAGTATGATCAAAACCCTAGTCTAAACTACCAACATCTCTCTCCTGGATTGTAAAGACTTTGCAAGTATACCAACTACAATGTTGCCCTCTATGATGTGAAAAAATAATACTGGATGGAAAGTTTTAGTCCTTCACAGATACTGTGAAGAAAACACAGTAGAGTCTTAGTTTCCAAAGTACCTGTAAGAATGATGATTATTCAAATACACAACAGAAACACTTATCAACATTACACATTATCATTAATAAACAGTTTGTCCTGTTTGGATAGAGGAAGTGGTTTGGACAGGTGATGAAGAACAGGTAAGTGACAAACACTTTTTTCATTCTGCCACACCTGCTCTGTATCTGACCTTACACAACCAGAGTATCTGATCTGACTTTTCTCATTCAGTCTTTTCCAGATTATTCTGGGATCATCTGAAAGCCTGGGGAGGCTCTGATGTGCATCTCCAATAAGGGTAAGAAAGTCTTTGGTATAAAGATGATCATCTATTTTCTCTTGGAGTAGAACTGACTCCAGTAAAGTCTTCTTCCGTCTCAGAAAGGCCGATTGAGCCAGTTCTGCCCTTTTTCTGTTGCAGCTGGGGCACTGAGAAGAAATGTGTTGCTTATCTGTTGCCACCTGTTTCGGCTCTGTCCTTATGTTTTTTAAGTAGATTCTGTTCAAAAGTTCAGCGGGCACAGAACAGTTCACGGCATCTGCCTCTGCAGCCCCTGCATCCCATCTAAGCGGTGGCTTTTTTGGTCTGTTGCTCTTTTTCTCCCTCAAGTTTGCTCTACGACGGATCAGGCTTATCTTAACGGCGCAAAAAGACTGCAAAGCATTCATTTCTTCATCGGATACCCGAGTGACTTCTGTTTGAGGTTTAGCGTCTGGTTGGTACTGTCCGGAGTTGGTTTCTTTGCCCTTGAGATAGCCGATCCATTTTTTACAGAACTTTTCATTATTTTTGTAGTCTGGAAGCTCAGATTGTGTGTCTCGATATTCCAAGGGTGTGCTCGGCTTTCCACTCTCAGGTGTGCTCTCAGAGGCAGGGGGCCAGGGCTGCGGGTCTCCAGAGGAGCTGGATGAGCCAGAACTCTGTACCTCATCAGGAAAGGTGTCCTCAGAAAGCTCTGCCATAGCCCTGAAGTCAGCCTTTGGGCCAGCTGGCCTAGCTCCTGTGAGTTCCCGGGCCTCGCAGCCGAGCGCTGTCACTTTGCATCATACTCGGGTCCTCATCTGCTTTGTTCCGGTCAAGACCGGCTCAGGAACTAGCCAGGCCTGGGGCCCCTGGGGACCAGTCTCGGTGCTGTCGCTCAGCAAGGCTCCCCTTCCCGGCTAAGCCTTCCCGCTGCCTTGGCAACAAGGGCGTTGGCTTCAGGCGGTCATGCGCAGTGGTTGCGCGCTGAGCTCCTCCTCTTCCCCGCCCTCCCCAGCTTCACCTCTGCACTGCGCAGGCGGGTACAGGTCTCGCTCGGGGTGCAAGGCTCAGGCTGCGTTTATGCTCCAGCGGCTTTTCGTAGTGCAATTTTATTTTATTTTATTTTATTTTATTTTATTTTATTTTATTTTATTTTATTTTATTTTATTTTATATTTTATTTTATTTTATTTTATTATTTTATTTTATTTTATTTTTTATTTTATTCTATTTTATTTTTTTATTTTATATTTTATTTTATTTTATTTTGTTTATTTTATTTATTTTATTTTATTTTATTTTATTTTATTTTATATTTTATTTTATTTTTTATTTTATTTTTTATTTTATTTTTTATTTTATTTTTTATTTTATTCTATTTTATTTTTTTATTTTATATTTTATTTTATTTTATTATTTTATTTATTTTATTTTTTCCTTAACTAGTTTATTGTCAAGTTGGTTTACGTATATAACACCCAGTGCTCATCCCAACAAGTGCCCTCCTCCGTGCCCATCACTCCCCCTCCCCCCCTCCCATCCCCCCTTAGCCCTCCGTTCTCAGCATTCAAGAGTCTCTCTCATGGTTTGCCTCCCTCCCTCTCCCCAACTATTTTTCCCCTTCTACCGCTTCCTCCTGTTTTAAATACAAAATCTGACAGTCCTTTAGAAAAGCTAGCAAACTACTTTTCCTCAGGGGTCACATATTTGTGTGAGGCTCACAGGGATAGGTGGCCTCTGACTAATTCATGAATATTGCCCCTCCTAGATTAAAAAAAAAAAAAAATACTGGCCAAAAAGCACAAGCAGACACACGTCTGCAGATCATATAGCCTGGAGATCACCTATTTGTAGACCGTGTCTTAGAAGAAATATGGAACTACTGAAACCATCCTACAAAACTGCTGGCACAATCTTGCTCCACTTTCTGTGCTCCGGTATTGGGACGGCGTTCTGGGCTCTGGCTTTGCCAAACACAGTTCCTCAGGTCTTTGGTTCAAGCAGTTCTCCTCACACTGGCATGTCAGCACTCCTTCTTTTTATAGGATTTATTATTGTTCCCCCTTCAAATCCCATTTCCTCAGGAAGGGCTTCAAACCCACCCCGGCCCCAAACTCTACAGCCTTTCTTTCATGGTTTGCAGCTAGTTGATGATGCCCCCGACATCGCCCCACAAGATTAAAACCTCCCTGAAGGCAGAAACCCTGTCTGTATTGCCTAGCACTCACCAAGTCCCTGACACATTAGAGGGGGTTGCATACATCTGTTGAGTAACTGCATTGAATGCCTGTGAAAACAGACGTAAATACAACCTCACCCAGTGGATTCTGTGAAATAGTACTACCAGGTCAAGGAACTCCCATCTCTATCTTTCTGAATCACCCCCACCCCCAACCATTTACTCTTTCACAGACATAGCCTTTTAGAATAGCCTCTTTTAAAACATGGTAAAATTTTATTAATAACTATTCTCATGAATCAGAATATGTCGACTCTGAATATTGACTTTTCCAAGGGCTTAATAAGGTCTTAGTAAGTATGGGAGATAATTTCAAGAGGTTGGATTCCCTTGGTCAGTCCCCTGTGTGTTATTCAAGTCTAACCAAGATGTACTTAATATTATTCCAAAAATGTCCACCTTGGCAAAGAGTCAAAAGTCTGAAATGTTCAAAAAGCATCTCCCAAATATGAACGAGCTTCATCTTAATGATAAAGAGATTGCAACTTCGTTTATTCAGCCCAGATAATATTTTATCTTATAATGTTAGTCTTTAAGTAACTTGTGGATAGTTCCAAGTGATTTCCAGCAACTCAATGGCTCAAGATTTCATTTTTAATTTTTATTTTTAAAACTTTCCTTATCCTCTGAATATTTACACATAATTTATCACAACCCATTTTAACTGAAAACGTTGATCAAAGGAGCTATACTTTAAATAAAGCATATTCATATCTTCTAATGTGCTAAGTATTTTTTAATAACCATATCCTAGAAGCAGATACATTTGGCAAGACTCTCCTGTAATTAACTTTTTTTTTTTTTTTTTTTTTAAAATAACCAGCTTCTGCTAGTAAATGGTTTAATATTCTAATGTGTGTTTCCCAAGGCACAGTCAGTCAGGTTCCTTCCAGGATCCTGACAAAATACAGGGTTAGTGGAACTTGTCAAAACCTCTCCTGGTGTGACACCCATGGGTACTTTGCATCCCTTCTGTAGGTTGGCTCTTTTTCTCTCAAACGCATGCTTGTGAAGTCCCATAAAGAATGTGCTCCGGGGCACGTGGGTGGCTCAGATGGTTGAGTATCTCACTCTTGATTTCAGCTCAGGTCGTGATCCCAGAGCCGTGGGATTGAGCCCATGCTCAGCATGGAGCCTGATTTGGATTCTCTCTCTCTCTCTCTCTCCCCCTCTCCCTCTCCCTCTCCCTCTTCTTCTTTCTGTGCTCTCTCTCTAAAATAAAATTTAAAAAATAACACATAATAATAATAAAAAACAGAATGTGCTCTGGTCACACAGCATAGGCTGGAGCCCTTGCTAGCTCATCATCACTCAGGTGACCTCCTCTGGCAAGCTGTTCCTCCAGAAGCCTCAAGCATCTTGGCATCTGTGAGGAGCTGTTGGGAATGCTGGGGTCCTTTACAGACCGAATTGTGGCTGAACGCTGCCTGGAGTGGGGGTGGGAGGAATAGGAAGTAAGGAGATAAATCAGGTGCTTGTGGCCTAACCATGCGATGGCGCTACTTTTCTTGCCCTGAAGACACTGTCTCTTCCTTCCAAGTTCTTTTTCCTCCCGAAGCTTTTTCCAGCTTTCCCTCAACAGTCAAATATGATTTACAGCTATGGGGCTCACCCTGGAGAAAGAAGGTCAAAAGTAATTAGTCTTCCTGTCTGATTCCCTTTCTCTCTTATTTCTTTCTCGGAGAGAGAAGGACAGACTTTCAGTTTCTTCCTGTCTGGCAAGCACATCTCCCGTCAGGTACCATAGCTTCCTCTTTCCCAGGTGGCATTTGGAATGTACCTCTTCCTGGAGCCATTGTGGTGTACAGGGTACCAGGAGGGAATCTAGTTTATGAAAAAAGGGAAGTTAAGTTGACAGATCTTTCAAAAATATTCTACCCTTTACATAAACTTCACAGCATTCTGCTTGGTTCTGTGGATCAAGCAAAATGAAATATTATTTTTTCTCCTAAGGGTCTAAGATGAATGTGTCAGAAATCTTACTGTAAGGAATGATTTTTGCGGAGTAAAGAACGTTACATCATTCACATTAAAAAAAAATTATTTCAGGGGCGCCTGGGTGGCTTAGTCAGTTGAGTGTATGCCTTTGGCTCAGGTCATGATCTTACAGTTTGTAGGCTCAAGCCCTTTGCTATCAGCCTGGAGCCTGGAGCCGGCTTCAGATTCTGTGTCTCTCTCTCTCTGCCCCTTCCCTGCTCATGCTTGCTCTCTCTCTCTCTCTCTCAAAAATAAATAAACATTAAAAAAATTAGAAAAAAAATTATTTCAACTTACAGGACAGTGGTTGTTCTTCATGTCTTTAAAATGTTTTTCCTTCTCACAAAAATCTCAAACTTGCCATTCTTTTTTCCTCTGTCTCTTCTATAATTTTGCTGAAATTGATTGCCTTATGCAAAGTTGCCTTTTACTTTAATGCTTACTGTTTTGCAAAGGAAATACATGTTTATTATAGGTACTTTAAAAGACAAATATAAGCCTCCAATGTTGATTTTAAGTAAAAATTACCCAAATTCCAATCTCCCGACAATTATACTATAAACACTTATAAAACGTTTTCTATTTTTCCTTCAATAATTTTTGTTAACAAAATCTAGATTATATTATGTTTTATGAACAATTTTCTTCAGTTAGTAATAATATGACTTTTCCATTCAATTTATAAATTTTTTTCAACACAATTTCAACATTTTTGATTTATTTAACTAATTACTTATTTAAGCACAAGGTATTACCAGGGTTTTGCTCCAAAAAGTATTGGAATGTTTCTTTAGTTAAATCTTTATACACATCCATAGCTATACATTTATGATAAATTCCAGACATTATAATTGATAGATCAAAATGTATGTACAATTTCAGGGCTTTTAAGATATCAGTTTCTTCCTTTCAGTTTTTACCCCCTATTGTGTTATAAAAAATCCAAGATAAAATATTATTTTATCCATAGTTATTCAGTGTATGTCTCTAGGAAGTAATGCCTGTCTAAAAATATAACTACATTATCATGATTTTCGCATCTAAAATTAATTCCTTAATAGAATCTAATAATTATTCTGTACTCAGATTCCTCTGTGTCATAAATGCCTTTCTGCAAGCTACCATCCTTGTATTGAGGTCTCTTCACTGCATTTGGCTGATACAGTGCTCAAGTCTCTTTTACTCCAGAATTCTTCCAAAGGGCAAACAATTTAAAAAAGAGAAAAAGAGGGGCACCTGGGTGGCTCAGTCGGTTGAGCATCCGACTTCAGCTCAGGTCATGATCTCATGGTTAGTTGGTTCGAGCCCCGCGTCGGGCTCTGTGCTGACAACTAGCTCAGAGCCTGGAGCCTGTTTCGGATTCTGTGTCTCCCTCTCTCTCTGAACCTCCCCTGATCACACTGTCTCTATCTCTCAGAAATAAAAAAATTAAAAAAAAAAAAAAAAAAGAGAGAGAGAGAAAAAGAAAAAAAATAAAAGAGCAAACAGAAATTTAGCCTTTTCTCTCTACAATTATGTCCCCCATTGGCAATCCTTAAGATTTTTGATTTACGCTTCCAAGTTTCTTTGAGAAATTATAAATCAATACACATCTGTATACCCTTTCTTACAAAATATATTCAGCCTGCTTTCCACATTGCTTCACACTTTTTTGTTTGTTTGTTTCTTATAAACCTATCTGAGATGTAT